ATTTGACAGGCCTTGATTAATACAGAAACAAATGTGTGTGTGTGTGTGTGTGTGTTGTGTGTGTGTGTGTGTGTGTGTGTGTGTGTGTGTGTGTGTGTGTGGAGGTAATGAATATTATAATTAAAGTCTAATGTGTGGGTGAACCTGAGATACTCCACCTTTTACTCCATTTATCTCTCGTTCACCAAGGCTGTCCTTGATCTAGTCCTGACCTGCTTACTCGTCTGTTTGTGTCCCAGTGGTCCAACTGTCAGAGAAACACACATTTACACACACACACACACTGCTTTGCTTCAGTTCACCTCTATGTTGTGGACAGTGATGGACGAAGAAAAAGGAAGACAGATGAAAAACAGAACAGGTTGTGAAGTGTAGGAAGAAGAAAATATAGTGTGTCGGTCTTGATAAGGGAAAAAATGTGAAGGTCAAACAGAAATGGTTTGTCACTTTAAAATGTACCAAGTTCTCTGTCGACCATCAAAGGAAACACACACAAAGAACGTGCATGTGGCATTAAAATGAATGCATTGCAGATTAACGCACTCCGTGTCCACACCTGAATGTGTTGTTCATGGTCTCTTGTTTTACAAAGAGATTTTTAAACAGGTGTGCTTGTGTTTGATTAAAGCGCGTGATGGTCACCAGACTTTCTGTTTGGACATAATTGAGGATGAAAAAAGGGGACTTCAAAGCTGAGTGGAGATGAATTGGCAGAGGAGCAGCTGCTGGCCTAGTTAGCATGTCTGTCCTTAACACTGGACCTCCAATCTCTCTCTCAAACACACATTACACAAGCTTGCACACGTCACATATTTAAATCGCAAAGTAGACCCCATGACCCTCTCGTTATTATGTGTCTTTTGTTTTTCACTTTAAAAGCACAAAAGAAACACTGTTGGAGGATAAATAAAACATGTTAAGGTCCTCAACAAAAGTAGTCATGCTTTTCTGATGCCGACCCAAACTAGTCAAAATAGTTTTGTTTGGATCCCTGAAAATCCAGATTGTATTGTATTGTGTTGTATTGTATATTTTCAAGCTAAAGCCAAAAAGTACAGTAGTTCAAAAATATTCAGTCAAATTTCACCTTTTTCAATTTTATTTGTTGCAGTCTGTTTAAATTCAGATTTTCACTCATAAATCTAGTCTCAGTACCCTTTAACATCAAAGAATTTATTGACTCAATTAAGGATAAAAACCCTAAATATCACATTTACATTACATAGGGATTTATGCATTTCCCCCCACAATACTTAAAATTTATCTCAGGTGCCATCATTTTTTCCCAGCTGAGATGTTTGTACCCCTTGATTGGAGCACGCCTGTGGTATTTTAATAGGACTAAACAAGGTTTCCATCCATCTGTTCATCCATCCATCTATACATCCATCCATTCATCCATGGCCTCTTAACCAAAGATGCATATCAAAGCCAAAACCAAGGTACAAGGTTGAAGCAAACCTGTAAAGTTTAGAGACAAAATTAAGTGAACTGGTTGCCGCTGGGAAAGTGGCTGCCATCGGTGCAGGGAAATGAAAAGAGGTAGGAACTTATTTCTAGTAGCAGGGCAGGCTGGGAGATGATTATTTAATTGCATTCATTGTTGTTGTTGTTGTTGTTTTTACTTCCTACCAGCTCTGAGACATAAAATAAATTTGAAGCTGAGTTTTTGGAAAAATCCATGAGATTTCTCTACACATCAGTAAACCCGCAAAATGGGGGAAAGGCCATGTAATTTACTGACAATCTGTACAACTTGACATGTATGCAACAGAAACTGGGAACTGCCTGTTATTTGATGTGTTCAATGTACTGTCTCTGGTGCTGAACACAGACTGTGTTCAGCACCAGAGACAGTGGCCAGGGACAAGATGGTTTCAAGATGGAGACCATGTTCGGGACTAAGCCTAAAAGATAGGTCTGCTCAACAGTTACTTGCTGGGGTATTCATATATTTCACATTCCCTTTTGTTTCTGGAACAAATGTTGTCTTGTGGCTTTTAAATGACCATGTACGTTTTGAAAAACAACCTATACTGTATGCTTTCACTGATCTGGACGTAATGGAAGACTGGCTGGAGACTTGGGGTCTGGTGAAAGTCAGCGGGAAAATGAGTGAAGGGAAGTAGAGATATCTTTTCTTTAATTTCTTTTTAATCTTTTTTTTACTATTTTTTGTGTCACTTCAGTAGAAAACGAAACCAAATATTAGTTTATTTAGTTTATTTATTTCTTCATCATCAGTGACCTTTTTTTAAGTGAAGAGAAAATAGAGAGAGAGAAAAAACAGAGAGAGAAGTAATTAGAAAGATAGAAAGATTGAAATAGCAATTAGAAGTTTATTAAATATACACCAACAAAACACAGGACCACACACCCAACATCTGTCTGCTCACCTGAAAAATAAATGGATAAATACATAGAGGGCATATATAAATAAATACACATACCCATACATATATAAAGATATACATACATACATGCCTACATTCATAAATATTGTCAGTATATACACACAGACATTTATACACACTCAGTGACAAGTCAGAACCCCCTGGATCAGAACACCTGTTTGTGAGCGGTTGTGAACATGCGTGTATATACAAGATTTCTCCAATGGAATATTTGACCTAATTTCCCTCTGGGATCAATAAAGTATTTTTGAATTGAATTGATTTAATAGTGACTGTGGAGGACCGAAGAGCCAACCCCCAAGACACGAGGCAGACATAGGGAAGACCAGAGCCCAAGGACCCAAGAGGGATCCCGAGCGCAGAGCCCCAAGGGGCACCCGCACGGGAAGATCCGCCCACCCACTCCCCAGATCAGACCATAGTGGAGGACTGGCAGAGTCCCCCCAGCGACCACACACGCAGCCCCCGGGGCCAGCAGCGACAAACTCATGTGCACCACCGGCACCCCAGCACACCAGCAGTCAGCTGCACACCGCACCGGGGGGCCGAGCAGCAGCTGGCCCCCAGATAAACCAGCAGTAGGGGCAGCCCAGACCGCAGCCTGACAAATACCCAAACATACACATGCACAATCGCACCATCCCACCCTCATCCTCACCCCCACTCAATCAAAGACATACAAGGACGCCACATTCCACTCATACCCCCGATACACACTCTATACCCCCAGGTCCAGGACATGCACCCACCCCCTATTGGAGGCAGCACATACCCGAACCCAGGAGGTACACCCAATCATTCTGAGGTGGAGAGGAGCAGATAGCCAAGGCCTGGCCTGGGCTGCACCAGGACGCCCGGCCAGCCCCCCGCCGCAGAGAAGCCACACCCATGACCACCCCACCACACCGCCAACAACCAAGTGCACCTCCCCAGCCGTCCACCCCCAGGAACCAAGAGCCACACCTCAGGAGACCAAGCAGCACCAGGGAGGATGGAGAGCCAACCCCGCCCCCGGCAACCGTCCAAGCCCCGAGCCCACCCACAGCCCAGGACCGCACCCGGTGGCCCGCCCCTTTTCAGGACACCCTCTCCAAATGGGAGTCGGGGAACGGAATGGGAATAAAGACCCTGACACACACCCCCACCCCCAGATGTACTGTTGGTGCGTGTTGTTCTATAGAGTAATTAAAAAGGGAAAGAAGAAGAGGCAGAGGCRGGCGTGGTGCRAGTTTCCCCTCCACCACTACTCTAACCCAAAACCCTAAGTGTCT